ACAGCACCACACACAAAGGCATCACCCAGATATCCAGGTAGACACTGTGTTTCATAAAAGATGAGAGTACACACGCAAACACACGTAGTCGCGCACACAACAGTGAGTGATAAGGTGTTGAATAAAAATGGCAGCATCTAATTGCGATTCTTTGTTAGGGTAATTTGATATGCTCCACAGGCTGGGGCCTTAATCAACACCTTCAAATTACTAATCAAAATGTTCCTCTGTCAGACTTCTCTGACAGTGTGGGTTTGTGTTAGTGTGTGTATCCATATCTGTGACTCACAAAAGTTCATATGGGGATTTTGACCCCTGGATGTTTTCCATTATGTCCTTATTTCAAGTATAGATTCAGTGTACATTTATGTATAAACACACTCATTATATGAATCACAAAAGATATTTCACTTGACAAGTGACAAGTTACCAAAACATGCAGTAGTGAGGCTTCTTGTAAGTCCAAGAGTCATTCACCTTGTAAAAACAAAATATACCAAATATGATTAGAAAGCTTTAAGCGGCATATAACATCTGTCAAGGCTGCATAAAAGTTAATACAATTATGAAACAGTCCATGTATATAATCATACTGGGAACACTGAGGCTTTGTGCAAGGACGTTGACCATGATGAGTCCCACTAAGTAATTGTGGCAATTGTAGTAATTTATAATGATTGTTACTTTAAAGCCATCTATAGACAGAACACAATGAAATTTTGCTATACTGCTCAGATATGATACATGCAGGTCAAGTAAATATGGTTGTAAATGTGTTCAGTGGGTCAGATTCTATGTGATGGAGGAGTGGTGAAAAAAAAGCATTCGATGTTGGACCAAAGGATCCAGGAAAACATGCTTGTAGTCAGTATAATGACCCAAATGTAAAATGGATTATACAATGCTAATGTTGAGCCTTACTATAGATATTCTTATAACAGATAAAAAAGACAAGTAGGGCAAAATGCATAAACCCCTTCTGATGGGAACAAATAACAACAACAACAAAAACAGTTTCTACACACAAAATGATATATAATGGTTTAAATTATATAATCATTTATATTAAATGTGCTCTATAAATCAAATCAAATCAATTAGATTTCTTTGATGAAGAAACACTGGCATAAAAAAATCCATTCCCACAGCTCATATATACAGTACAGATTTATGAGGATCTATTGTCAGAAAGTAATATTATATTCGTAGATATGTTTTCAATAGTGTATAATCAACTGATTATAGAAATCATTATGTTTTTGTTACCTTAGAATAAGCCATTTCTATCTATAGATACCACAGGTCGCCTTCCATGGATCCGGCCATGTTGAATCGCCAATCGATCTGCAACTACACCGCTAGATGCCGATAAATCCTACACATTAAAATACATGGTGGCCATTTGTACGTAACAATGCCGTTTTCAGTTGAAAGCCGGTGTTATCCAAAAGAACTGGACTGTTGTCTACGTGATGCCTTGAATCTTAAGGTCATGCCACACTTTCAATGCTTGGAAAATAGCAGGAGAAATTTGAAATTCCCCACACTGGAGGTCATCCTAAAGCTCCTTGATGTTTTGAAGAAAGATGGTTAATAGCATCCAATTCTCAAGTGTAAAAGGAAATCTTTTTTTGTTATATTCATTTCGCTGCTGAACGTTCAGGATGTTTTTGAAAAGCTTTTTTCAGTTGATGCACATCAGACAAAGAGCAATAAAAGCTTCCTGCCATTGTCAGACCCCTCTCTGTGTTACATTGCAGGCATTTAGTTGACACTCGCATCCAGAGTGACTTACAAAGCAGAGTGCAAAGCAGAATAAGCTTAACTTCCTTCGTCACCAACATTATGCACAGCCAATAGCAAATGGATGAAAGGTCAGAGGTCATTGCACGGTAGAAAATATTCTTGTGAGTGCTGAATAAACATGAAGAAAATAGAAGAGCAAAAATAAGAAGTGAGAGCGAGAGGCAGAAAATCTGCACGCACACACACACACTCACACAAAAACACATTGCATTTTAACACATTGAGTTGTTCCTCCTGGCACTGTCTGTCTCCTTCTCCTTAACATTTAGAACAATTCACACCCCTCAGTGTTTGTGTATGTGCACTTGTGTCTCAAGCACTATTGTGTGCATGTGTCTGTGTGCAACTGCTTTTGTGTTTAATGTGGTGTGACTTTGTGTGTTTGACTGTTTGACAGCTTCACTCCCTGACAAGGTGTCTGACACCTCTTCTCTGTCTGTATGCCTTCATAAAGACATGTGAAATCCTGTCTCCTCCTGAAAACACACACACAAACATACACAAACACATGCACGCTCTTGTTACTAGGTAGATTTTACTATAATAAGTCAAACATGTGCAGCAGTAAACCTGTCTGCCTCTGAATGTGTGAACGAGAGGAGAGATGTGCAGTACTGACGCTGCTCAGTATGACCCGCCAGACAGCTACGTTTCCTCAAGTTACCCTGCCAGTGATTTTCTAAGTGATGTCTTCAGGATGCTGTACACTAAATATCTACAAACATGGACAACTGCAGTGCTTCCCATGAGTATTTTGGCAGACCCTTCATTTTCTTTTTTCTCCAAACCATTGAATTTTAAATGTAACAGTGCTGACTTCCAGTTTTTTTATACAGTCACACTGTACCTTTTATTCTTCCACAATTTTTGGGGACCAATTATGAATCCAGCATTTGCTGAAAAATGTTTTCTTCATTCACAACAGAGCTAACAAAAGTTGAGTGTAGATTGAAGGTAGAGTCTCTCACCACAAGCAACAAAGAACTGTCATGACAGTAAAACAGGCCATCTTGAGACTGAGTAATCAGAATAAATCATATGCTTTAACACTAGCTGCCAAGTCAGTCATCTAACCACAGTCCAACTGATCTTGTGTTTCAATGCTGAAGACCAGGCTGTGAACAGGAAGGATACCAAATGTCTTTTGATGGTAGATTTAATTTACTGCAAAGGATCTGTTATGAAATTCTAAATATGAAGCTTTTAAGTTTATTTAAGTAAATTAGTATTAGGTTAATACTTTTTTTCTACTTAAAACTGGGTGACGGGCGCCCTGGCAGCTCACGTAGAGCCCGCACCTCATATTAAGGCTGAGTCCTTACCACACTGGCCCCAGGCCCTCTGCTACATGTGGTCCCCTGACTCTCCGCGCCTTTCCTTTCATTGTCTACTGTCACAATCCAAATAAAGCGAAAAGCCAAAGAAGAGGGCTACAAAAAGGACTACAATTCCTATAGTGATTGTCTAATTTGGTTTTGAACAGCCCCAAATTAAAGCTTAAAGTTGACACTTCAATCTCAAAGTCATTGTTTCATTTCAAGTGCAATGTGCTTGGTTAAAGAGTCAGCACACCAGAAAAAAGTGTCACTGTGCAAATACTTACAAACTGCACTGAGACTCCCTAAACTGGAAATCATCCAGTCATCAGGTGAAAGTTTTCCCCTGACAGGAGACAGTTGGTCCATTGACATTGAATTAGTAATTGACTTTGTAAGCTAATAGACTTTCCGTTTGAAATATTCTATCCAAATGAGTTTGATTTGAATGTAGGGCTCCCAGCGGCGAGTTAGAAAATGTGCCCATAGCCCAAGAAAATGACCCAGGCTGCGGTCACTTTGTCTCAGCAGTTGTTCCATTATTCACCGTCTACAGGGCTGCTTCACAGTTTATCGCTGCATGGCATCATTACAGTCCATCTCCTGTACAGCTAAGAATAAGACTGGTTTAATTTCACAAATTACAGCTAATATCTGAATGTCAAAACTCAGTTAAACTCGGGTTCTGAAGCATCAAAAAGCTGATTATGACACCAGCGGAGCCTCTGATGAACTTTCCTCGCTGCACTAACAGAAAATGACATGTCATACAAAGTAATAATCTACAACATTTTCATGTAATTGAACAATTTATGAACACAGCAACAGCTTAACTGTAACTGTGATCAGCCTGATGAAAGAAAAATGTAAAATATTTAGTTTCTCAGCTACATTTCTTTGTCAAGTTTCATACAGCCTGAATCAACAATCTGGGTTATACTTTGCACAGTAGTTTATTTCAAGAAAGTTGTTCTCGGTTCAGTTCCTGCTGTGTGTACTCCTGATATATACGTATATCTATAAACGACTTCAGTTTTTCAGAATATAAGAAATTTAATGGAATACCTTGTCACATTTAATTGTTGTGAATGTCCTTCATGATGAAATTTTCTGGAGCAAGCAGCGGGTCTCATTGTGCCCCACAGGGAAAAAGCCCAGAATTAGATTTTGGATGACTTAATATTTCTGTTGAGTTGGTTCCCAGATATTTGAAACTTTGCTACACTAAATAATAGAATTTAATGATGAGAAACAGAGCTGAAATTTAATATGCTTAATCTTCCTCCACTCCTCTTTTTCCTGCTTTCTCCGTCCTCTCTTCGATTTTTCTTCACACTCTCCTTTAATTCTTCCCTCCCTTTGATATTTTGCTCCTCTCTGTTCAGTCTCACATGCACACTGCTTTATTTGTATCAGTGTTTGGGACTGGAGGATGAAGTATGTGTTCCAATATGTCTGCAATGTATTTATGGATGTTCTTTGCTGTATTTCATTTTGCGTTTAATGGCTGCATGAGAGTGCAGTTTGAAGGTTTATTCACACTTTTCACTTTATTGTTGTGAGACTTTTAACTGAGGTCAGTAAAGTACGCAAATCATTAGCACTTTTATTCTGATACTCTTCTAAAGGTACCATAAATAAATGTGATTGTTTCTGAGATGGTTAGCTTATACTAACCTCTACACTTGCCAATGCCAAGTTATGTTTGGCTTTACAATGTGTCATCACACATGAAACTGTTATTTACTTCAAATTGTGCTTGTATGAAGTACAGTTGTTGCCAAAACTTGCGTTCAATTCAAAGCAGACAATAAATATAAGAACACTCATTGAAGTCAAAACGCATTAGAATGTTTTGTGTTCTCTCCGTCTCTGCAGTGCCTGGCTCGGTGCCGATGGAGTCTCTGCAGAATACGCCCTATGAAGAGAAGATTTTCATGCAGTGGAAAGCCCCCAACGAGACCAACGGGGTCATCACACTGTACGAGGTCAGTCATAAACTTCCAACAATGCCCATCCTCAGTGGCAACTTTACATGGTCATGGCAAAGGTTACTGACCTAAATCCATACACTTGGAGATGAACTCTTGGTGGTTCAGTATAGTTTTATTTGAAATAGTTGATTTACTTTTTAGTGAGTGTGTGTTTTTAGTGAGAGAGTGCTTAGTGAGTGTTCACTAAGCCCAATTTTAAAGGAACTCCATGAATTAATTTAATACACAAAAAGAGTAGTCACAAACTATGATAATCATTACTAAGGAAGATTAATTACCAATTCAGTCCCTAAACTCAACTTGTCAACTTCACTAAACAGTTGCTTAAACTTAAAGTTACAGAGAAGTTTCAAAGATTGGTGAAAATAAACAGGTGAATTTTACTTGGCAACAACTATTAAATAAACATATTTAGCATTGAGTCAGTTAACATGACTTCAAAAGTGGTACAGTTGGATTGTATTGGATTGTGAAGACGCACACAACAGATAAGGGTTAGGAGGAAGGATAATACTTCTTAATAATACTTAGTACTAGCTGTAACAACAGTAGTGCACAACCTTTGACCAAACACACAACACATACACATTGTAGAGGGCCTATTTTTCACATTGATATCATTTTGTGCTGAAACTACTGAGTTGTGACAATGTGTGAAGCTCAGGGTTGCAGGTTTGATCCCAGGTTTTATGCTGATCTCATGTCCCAGATCTCTTATTTAACCTTGGTTGGCCCTCCAGCAGCTTTCAGCTTTATTACAAGAGTCTGTCTGTCTGTCTGTTCGTCTGCAGCCACAAACCACTCAGACCTCTGTCATCCACCACTGGAAAAGAGGCAGAGGAGGAGGAGCCGAACAAGCTAGACACGAGACAAGAGAGCAGAGAGAAATGGAGGAGACATAGGCACAGGGTAGAGAAAGAAAGAAAGGAGAAGAGGGAAGGAGAATATATATATATTGATTTGCGCATAAATTTACAAGACATAATACACGTAATCAGGTGAATGGAGAATGAAAGAAGAGCCGAGGGCTCAAAGAACTTGTTGAGATGCTTTTTCAAGAATAATACTTACAACCAAGTCAAGTCTCTGTGCGGGCTAGTTAAGTTCATCCACATCAAACCAATAAAGGGAATGGCCTCACCCAGCTGCTGAAACCATGAAGCTGGACAGGGGTGTCCACATACTTTTGGAAATATAGTGTACCTATGAGAATGTCTGTTTTAAATGTTCTTTTTTTCAGCGCTGACATGGCAGAATGTCAATCTAATATCATTAGTCTGAGGTATAGTCATTATAATTCTGCACAATCGCAGCTTGACAGCATTATAATAGAGGGCAACAAGCCACAGCAATTTACAGAAAACTAAGTAGCAACTGATTGGTATTTATGAAGATGCATCAGTTTAATCCAAACTCAAATACAGGGTCTTTTTTTTACACAATCTAGACCTGAAGATATAGAAACAGTAGTTTGTCATATATAGTCTAATACATCACTGCCAGGTCATATTGGTATTAAATATGAGTTATATCCAGGAATAGATATGAACACTCATATTAATTTAGATATGAGCAGCAATTCAAAAGTGAGTGCAAATTCTTGTGGAAGGAGAAAGAGGAAAGTAGGGCTTGGAAATATAGAGAAAGTGGAAGAGAGACTTATCCCTTGACAGCCCTTGAGACAATGTTTGGGAGGGAGTGAAATAGAGAGACAGATTGAGAGACGTGGGTGTACACTTTTGTGTGTGCTCGTGTGTGTGGTCATAGACGGTTTATTCGGGTTGAAGTTGAGTTGAGCCCTCTATCTAATGAATTATTGACCCGTTCTCTGTCTCCTGTCTGCCTCTTATATCACTGCATCAAGGAGCTACCTCACACCAAGACCTGGCAGGGCTATTAGTGTGTGTGTGTGTGTGTGTGTGTGTGTGTGTGTGTGTGTGTGTGTGTGTGTGTGAGCGAGTGAGTGAAAGAGAGTGAATTACTAAGCAAAGGAATGTGTGTTCTTGAACGAGTTGGTGAGTTTTTGAGTGAGTGTGTGTGAAAGAAAGTGAGTTAGCAAGTGATGAAAAGTGTGTGAGGAGTTAGTGAAGTAGTCAGCGATAAAGTGTGTTCTTAAGTTTGTGAATGTGCATGTGTGTATGTATGAGAGAGAGGATGTGTGAATGAGAAAATGTGTTAGGTATAAAGTGCTTGAGTAAGTGTGTGTGTGTGTGTGTGTGTGTGTGTGTGTGTGTGTGTGTGTGTGTTTGAGAACCCTCTGTGTGTGTAAAACAGGGTTATTCAGGACAAGGTTTCCATATACTTTCCTCCTGTGCCATAATGAATAAGAATCTCAAGTCTCTCTTTCTGAAAATGCTTCTTCAAATTATGAAACATGTATTGCCCATATAGGAATCTAAACTCTGAACACACAGTTATACATTCCTCTTAATACACTTATGCACTAGAGTGGAAACCTGCATTTTAAGTTTCACTTAATTTGTAAAATGTGATAAATTTGTAACACAAATGTGAACTCCAACCATGGACCATGGACTTGACTTAAGCTACAGCTGATTTTTTATTAATCGTCAAATATATAACATGTAAAAGAAAATGGCCCAGTTTAATTTACAATGATATAAAGCTGAAAGTAGAAGGTTTTCTATCAAACACCTACAGACTGTCATCCTTCTCTGTCTGTTTTTAAGTGAACATGCACAGCTATCATTTGGAAGCATTTGTGTGATCGTTATCATTGACGCTTTTACAGTTAGGTTTACCACATTAACATTTTCACTCCCAACTTGTCAAATATGGCCACTTGGTTCATGACGCTAGGCTTCAAAAGTGCGGCACGTGCAGGGCTCTGCGGTCAACTTAGCAATAATAAATATGGAACATCCGGTTAAACTTTCAAAATAAACCTTGCTGAGAAACATCTCACATTTAAATGCTTGCCCAATGGTTTGGTTTAGGCACAAAGGCTACTTGTTGGGTTTAGTAAAAGATCCTGGCTTGGGTAAAAATAACTATGTTTATAAGGTAATTTAAAAATAAGTTAGTGTTGACTTTTATTTTCACACGGGACACAAAAAGCAAATGGTCTCCTGATAAAGTCCTGTGTTTGTTTGACCCACCCAAACACTCTAAGAACCTCCAAATGTGGACTTCACTGCTCTTTATACTACGTCAACTGACTTCGAAACGATGCTTTAGCTTCACCCACACTGCACAGTTTGAAGAGTAGAGCCACTGACCATGCTGCCATATTTGACAAGTTGGGAGTGAGAATAGGCCGGTCTGTAACACACCATCTAATAATATTTAGATGATGGCTGGTATTATCCAACAGACTTCTTTGCTAAATCTATTTCATACATTTCAAATAGCAGTTTTTCAACTTAATTGAGACTGTTGTACTTTAGCTGCCCGTTCTCAGTTTATCATACATCTTGTAACAAGCATATCTTATTTTGGCAGCAAGTTCTTCTAATATAATTGCCTCTATTTTCTCTCAAGCCCTTTCTGCATTAATCTTCAGTCACTCCTCTCTTTCTGCGCAGTACAAAAAACATTCAGTACCATCTCTGAGACTTCCATTAGACCTCGACCCAGAGCTTGAAAAACACTCTCCGCAGTCTATAAACCTTTTGGGACCATCATCAATTTCGCCTTGTTTTGTGTCGGTTTCATTAATGTGAATATAAGCTCCCTGCCCTCTCTGCCCAGCGGAGGCGGCACGACTCGGCATCATCTGTTAAACATATCAGAGCCTCAACACAATGCGCTGCTATTAGAGATAATTACTATAATTGCAGCTATTGACAGGATTAAAGGCATCATCTGCAACATCTAAAGGGGCTCTTGTTGTGTCCTATCCTGCTCTGTTGTATCTTGTGTTTTCTTTTTTTCCGGTATCTGTTTCCCTCGCTTTTCAGGATGAAAACCAGATGAATTACACCTAGGACAATGAGAGGGAGGGGGGAAGGAGGTGGGGGGTTGAGATGGATGGGTGGAGGTGGAGAATTGTAAGGAGAGATAAGCAGAATGAGAAGAACGAAGAGAGAACTGGGAGAGGAGATAAAACATATCGAGTGAGCAAGTAGAAATGTGAGAAAAGACATTCATCATATGGCATGATTACATGAATTAATTCAGTGTGCAAATATGATCACTTCATCTCTTGCATCCATTACTATAATTGCAGCTAATTACAGGATTAAAGGAAACATCTGGGTGAGATCTAAAGGGACCAAAGCCCCCCCCACACACACACACCCCGCTCACTCCCTCTTGTCCTATTCATCTGAGGAAGGATAAATTATGTCTGGGGAAAATGTGATGGAGGGCGGAAGTGTGAGGGGTGCATAGAGGTGAGATAAGAGCAAAACATGGATTTTAATTTGAGGAACAAACATCTTGAGGTACAAAAGTATTACTGTCTTTTATTCATGGAGGGAAGAGCTGTGATTCTAAAAAAATAATTCACCACTGCAGCAAGTCTGCCATTTCACAAAAAAAAAAACAAGCAACAACAAAAAAATATTACACAGAATTTAGAAATGACGTATTGATTATTATACCTGAAATATTGACAAGCCAGTCTTTTGAATATGGATCTCTCAAGCACTGCAATTCGGTTGTAATTTCCCATTTTGGATCTTAACTTTGAGGAATAGACTGCTATTCTAACTGTAGGCTTTAAGTACCAGAAACTTTTGGAGATCAGGGAACACAGTAACGCCAGATTAGACAAACGTAATGCAAGGTTTTACTGTGATCTTCTTAAATTGGCATGGCACATTTAATTGGCACTTAATCTGATCAGTATGTCATTCTTAGCTGACATTTAGCCCCAGAGTAGAGCTTTCCATCTGCCACCACACAATTGCTGATAAATGAGTCTATCCCACCCTCTATGTTGGGTGGCCACTGCCAATCAGGTAGAGAATCTGTCAAATTGTACATTTCTAATCCAAAATAATGAACGTGATTGGTGAATCTCGTATGCA